GAGACGAGATGGTCAACTTTGACACTCACTAGTGGTCCAATAATAATATACTAAATGTGTGAGAAAATCATGGGTTTTATAAGGCAGTACTAACTCACAAAGCTAGGAAACAAGCATACACTTCAACAAATAATAAGGATTTTTAAGGTTTACCTTTCTTTATCTTATCAATTTACATCAAGCCATAAAGGGCAATATCATCATTTAAAATTTCACGTGCATCAATATATATAAAACTATCATGCGCAAATCATGCCGAGGCGACGGCCCGGTCCAACAGAAAAGAAATGTGCACTTGCCGAGGGTCGGCGCGCCTATAGATGCATCTATTACCCCGCTCGCGAAATAATCTGCGACGCGGTCAACATAAAATAAACACATACCCTGCTCGCGAATCATACATGCGACGCAGGTACACAGAGAGATACTGTCACGACCCAAAATCCACCAAGGGTCGTGGTGGCGCCGGACACCGCTGTCAGGCAAGCCAACTAGAATACATAATTAATTTCTCGTTGTAATAATTTTGAAAACATTTCTTTTATACAGTTTAAACAAGACTCAGTATATTCCTCCGAATGAATAATGAAATATTTGAACAACTTTTGAGATTTCCGAATAAATCCAAATACATCCCCAGAACCCGGTGTCACAAGTACATGAGCAACTACTGATAAGGAACATAAAATACAACCTCAGACCGAAATACGATGGACGGGGAAATAAATACAAGGACTGAAAGGAACTACACTAGCTGCGGTCACCTCGAATGATGCAGCTCACCTAGTCCCAGAAACATCCGTGCTGCCATGCCCAGTAGGCCGCTAAAGTAACATATACCTGTGCAACAAAAAAATGCACAGAAGTGTAGTATGAGTACGTAATCAACGTGTACTCAGTGAGTATCCCGCCTAATCCCGAAGGGGTAGAGACGAGATGGTCAACCAGGACACTCATTAGCGGTCCAATAATAATACACTAAATGTGTGAGGAAATCATGGAGTATATATATGTACAGTTTTAAATCACAAAGCTGTAAGATAGGCAATGCCCTTCAACAATAATCAAGGGCTTCAAGGTTTATTCTTTATTATCTTATCAATTTATTTCAAGCCACGAAGGGTCAATTCCACATATAAGCTCTCAAGCGACAAATAACATGCGCAAATCACACTGAGGCGACGACCCGCTCCAACAGGAATGTAAACTGTGCACTGCCGAGGGTCGAGCGGCCCGAACCAATAGATGCATATATTTAAATCTGTCGAGGCGTTCGGCCCGTTCCATAAATAAACAC